GGAGGATCTCAAGTTCAAAGCCAGCCTCAGCACAAAGTGAGGCACTACACAACTTAGTGAGACCCCAGCTCTACATAAAATACAAAATAGGGTTGGGGATGTGGCTCAGTGGTCGAGTGCCCTTGAGTTGAATCCCCCGACCCAAAAAAACAAAAACAAAAAAATTATCAAGGAACTCAAAAAGCTGTTGTTCATATGGGTTCTATCTATTAATATTTGCCACATAAGAAGTTTAAATGAAGACCTTTTAAAACACAAAATAAACAAATATATACTTGATCAGCTATCAAAGCAGTGATTTTATCAAACATCTGGAAAATTTTTGATAACTTGGTGAGAAATGAAAATGAAAAGGACAAATTAATTATTAATTATTATTATTAATTATTAATTATTAATATTACATGAAAGTAGCTTTGTCCTCAGAGGCCCTCTGAAAGGGTCTCAGGGACCCTAGGGGTCCCTGGACCACCCTTTGAAAAAACCATCCGAAAGCAATTCTTGCACATGTGCACAGGAGACAGGTACAAGAAGTTATTCATTCTTCAAATATTTATTAAGCATGTGCCTGTACCAGGCATTGTTCCAGACACTGAGAAAACAGTACAGAACAAAACAGACATGACCCCAGGCGACACAGAACTTACATTGTAATCGGGCAGAATGTTCACAGCAGCATTGTCTACAATAGTAAAAAGTCCAAATCTCCAGAAATAGAAGAGCAGATAAATTGTGAAATAGTCATTGTGGCTATACAGCAGTGAAAACATGAAATAGTTACATGCAATAAACATGGATGGAAGTCTCAAAAAATGCTAGAAAAGTCACAGAAGAATACATACAGCATGAATCCATTTACATACAAGTTCAAAAACAGGTAAATCTAAACAACATTTTATTAGGAATACATACATAGATGATAGAGCCACAAATAAAAACATGAGAATTATCAACCAAAAATAACAGAAGAACATTTACCTCATGTGGTGCGAATGGAGGGAGGACAAATGAGTAGGTAGCTGAGAATGTGTACGTTCTTAAGCTGGAAGTTGATACATGTGTGATCATTTTTATCTTTAAACCATACATACACAGTTGAATACTTTAGTGTTATTTCACAATATTTTTTAAGGAAAAAAGTTACAAGATCATTCAATACATACTTTCATCAGCAAAGATGAAATATCTGATACTTCAGTCCTTGCTTTGCTATGCAACCAACCAATAACAATTATAGAAAAGTAATTGATAATATGAAAAAAGAAACAGGATAGATTTTTATTTACAGAACTTAACTAGATTCCCACAAGTTCAAAATCCAATGAGATCACAGTACTGCAGTGTTGCTGTTCCAAGTTGCCTCAATCACTGGCGTGTCTCTGGCTAACTGACCTTTGTTCACTTGGTATAATTAATCATATTTATTATATCATTATGTAAAATAAAGCAGATAATGAAATGATAGGTGATGCAAATGCCAAAATAAATTGCCTTCTCTGGACTCTCAAAAGCACAAATTTCCTCTGGCACATTCTCATAATAATGCATGCATGTGGTAAGTATTACAACAATATGGAATGCATATGGCAGCTATTGACTGTTCCTCCAGAAGCATTAAAAACAGATTCCTTGCTGGTCACATAAATGCTGGTCACATAAATGGGCTGGGGACATAGTTCAGCTGGTAGAGTGCTTGCCTCGCATGCATAAGGCCCTGGGTTCAATCCCCAGCACCACCACAAAAAAAAAAAAAAAGCCAATAGTTTTGCAATTGTTTCTGTGCCAAGATCATCACTGTTGGTGCCATTTTGCAGACCTATAAGATAGTTAAGATATGATTTCTCCTTATTTAAGGGAGAAAATTTCTCCTTATTTAGCTACAAACTGGTATTTAATTCAAAAATTCTAAAAAAGTAAATAGATCTTGAAACATTTAATCCATCCCCCATACCCAAGTAGGGCAAGCAAACATAATCTTGGTTTAAGGAGTTGGTATGAGGGAGAGACTAAGTCCCGCAGAAAGTGGCCAGCCTAAGTAGGGAAGTAGAAAGTGCATTCTCCAGGCCTACCCTCCCTAGCTGGGTCGAACACAGGGCTGCCAATCACCAGAAAGTTTCAGGCATAGATATAGCTACTTTAAAAGAAAAAAAAAAAAAAACCTCCTCTGCAGCCAAAAGACCTAGAATCATATTGAAGCTGGAATGGATAATGCCATCGGGGGGGTGCCAAACTACAAGTGGTAGTAGAATGGATTTGGCTGAAGCAGCTAGATCTTCAGAACTGCTCAGACACTCTAACCTGATGTCTTTGTTTTACTGGATAGTATTATGCCTGCAGCTTCTTGTCCTCTTCCTACTATAAAAGAGAAACTAAGAGAAAATGCTTAAATTCTTAGATTCTACTCTGTTTCCTCAAATAAAGGACGAATGGGTAATTCTCTTGGTTGGAGATGGACATTTGTTGGACCACAATTTCCTAATGGACAGAGTTGCTGCTCCAAAATGAAAGGTAGTTGCTGCTACCTTTTATTTTGAACCTGTATGTACTCAAATACAAAGACTCTTCTTGTGCCTTCCTCAATTTTATATATATATGTATGTGTGTGTATGTATATATATAAGCTATAAAGGGACACAATATTTTATTTATTTATCTTTTTATGTGGTGCTGAGAATAGAACCCAGGGCCTCACATGTGCTAGGCAAGCACTCTACCACTGAGCCACAACCCCAATCCTTGACTTCCTCATGCTTAGGAATAATACAGCCTTTCACTTCTTGTCTCTAGTTGGTAAGAACATAAGAGAGTGGGTCCACTTCTGTTTTAGCTTCCATATCAGTATGCTACCAATTCCTACATTCTGTACTTTTATCTTAGGAGGTTATATGTAAACACCTAACATCTCCAGAAACACTTTTGTTTTGTTTTGGTGGTGTTGGGGATTGAACCCAGGGCCTTATGCATGCAAGGCAAGTACTCTACCAACTGAGTTATATCCCCAGTCCTCCAGAAACTTTTTAAAGGACTATTGAATCAGCAAAGTAAACTCAGCATATAAGGAATACTCCTGTTAAGCCCTTCTAGCCTCATACCTATGACTCCCTAGCCTTCTCTCTATCCAAGAACATGGGCTTCACATTCCTATATTTGATTTGAGGCACTAGCAGAAGTAGCAGATTTTGAATTTGACAACCTTTAAGTAGCAGCCCCTTACTCAATTTATCTTATATAAAATAAAATAATCTCATGCTCAGTTTCAGATGATCCTTGCTGAGATTAATAGGCCCATAAGAGGACATTGTCTTAATTTAGTTCTATAGAGGGCAGGATAGAAGAAAATTGACACTGAGAAGAAATGGGAATCTATTTGAACAAGAAAGTTGCATCCTAAGCTTTCTATAGCCTTTTCTTTGTTCAGTCTATAGAATTTATTGTTTCACTCCCAGAATGTTATAGTTTATGTTTTTCCAGGCATGATTAAAATAAGGCTTGCTCTGGAGTACAAAAATATATAGGCATATTGTGAACTGAGCTGCTATAAGCATTGATGTGGCTGCATTACTACAGTATGCTGATTTTAAGTCCTTTGGGTATAGACCAAGGAGAAGGATAACTGGGTCAAATGGTGATTCCATTCCAAGTTTTCCAAGGAATCTCCATACTACTTTCCAGATTGGTTGCACCAATTTGCAGTCCCACCAATAATGTATGTGTGTGCCTTTCCCCCACATCCTTGCCAATATTTATTGTTGTCTATATTCTTGATAACTGCTATTCTGACTGGCGTGATATGATTTGCATTTCTCTAATTACTAGAGATGCTGAACATTTTTTCCCATATTTGTTCATCGAAACTATATCTTCTTCTGAGAAGTGTCTGTTCAGCTCCTTAGCCCATTTATTGATTGGGTTGTTGTTTTTTTGGTGTTAAGTTTTCTGAGTTCTTTATATATCCTGGAGATTAGTGCCCTATCTGACATGTGTACACATATGGTGCAATGCTACATCATGTACAACCAGAGAAATGAAAAGTTGTGCTGTAATTGTGTAAAATGAATCAAAATGCATTCTGCTGCCATATATACCTAATTAAAATAAATTAATTAATTTAAAATATATATGTATATAGGCATAGATGCTCTCAATGGTAACTGGGAGGCTTGGAAGGGAGGAAAGCCAATGTAATCTTGTTTTCCTGAGAATAACATCCTTTTGACCTATAAGCTTAAGATGACAACAGGGACCTGACTTGAGATAACAAAATCTGAAGCAGACCTTGTGTGTATGTATCCTCCACCAGGTCCCTGGGATTAAATAGGTAGTTTTGTCTAGTGCCAGAAAAGACACTAACTTTTGACTTTTGACAGATTTTTTAAACTCATTTTGATCATACAGTATGAAAAATAAAAATCCACCAATGTCTATAGTCTCATTAAATGTTAAGGTCTCTTCAGATGGAAGACCTCCTCTTAAGATCTCTATTAAATTCTTTATTTATCCCAGAATTTCTCTTGGGAATCTAAGAGTAGGATAGGTAAGACAAGGCTGAAAAGTCTGAATTTCCTTTAGAGACTTACCTGCTAAATTTCTTTCCTTTCAAAGTTTCTTTCCCATTTTGACTCTGACTTGAGAGTGGGAAGTGAGAATATGGAGAGGCATAAAGGTAACAATTTTCTTTACTCATTCATTAAAATATTTAGTACCAGCTAAATGGCCAAAGGAAAGAGATAGAAACACCTAGTCCCTGCCTTAAAAACCTATCATCTAGGGCTGGGGTTGTACCTCAGTGGCAGAGTGTTTGCCTAGCACGTGTGAGGCACTGAGTCTGATCCTCAGCATCACATTAAAAATAAATAAAATAAAGATATTGTGTCCATGTATAAGTAAATGTATGAAAAAAAAAAAAGACCTACCATCTAGCAGAGGGAGGGAGACAATGATAATAAAGGCACAGTTTTTAAACTGCTACGACAAAGGACAGCGAAGCACAAAAAAAGGCAGTTAAATCTACCAGGAGGTAGAGTGTGTTGAAGGCTTCCTCAGGCTGGCAAGGCATGCAGACAGATGGCCAAGGAAACGTGGACGAAGACAGGAGGAGGTGCATAAAAGACAGAATGTGGTGTCATAGCTGTGGAAAATGGAAGTGCCAAGGAGTGCTCAGATGACAAGATTAAGTAGGAAGAAAGAGATCACTAGATTTGGAAATGGGAGATTATTCCCGACCTTTGCCAGAACCATCTCAGGAGGGTAGCAGGTCAGAAGCCTGCTGCTGTGAACTAAAAAGTGTGAAAAGCAAAAAAAAAAAAAAAAAAAAAAAAAGAGTAAACAGGTAAAACAAGGTTAGGCTATTTTTTGCAACAATTAACTTTTTTTTAACTTCCAAGCCTATTAGTTAAGCTACAATTAGGATCAAATAGATTTTGTTTCTATTAAAAAATGACTCCCAACCACAATTCACTAACTTGAAAACAAACGTTTAGACACAGTCCATCTTAATTTAGAGACTGCCTACTATATTAAGTCAAATGCATGACATAAACATTTCTATAGATCTACTCTGCCAACACTCGTTTTTCTTTCATGTATTTAAAAATAAATAACATTTGTAAGTGTTTATAGTAGAAAAGGTGCTTTATTTTACATACCATTGGTACATGATACATAAAACTGCCTAAATCAGTTTTAAATACAACAGTTACACCTTAACTGGTCAAAGACCAGGTCTACTTTGCAACTACTTCATTTGTGATCTGAAGACTTCAATACTAATATTGTTATTAAATACTAATAATCTCTTCATATCCAATGATACAAATGGTATTCATAAGTGCTGTTATTTTTTAAAATAAAAGTATCTTTAGCTATAGACCATATCTCTAATCAGAACGAATCTTTTCTAATCTATAAGACTTTGAAATAATGAATCAACAATTTCACTCTCCCATAGATAATTATATTTGTGCAACTGAGTTATGGGGCAAGGTACATAATACATGCAATTAGATTATTTCAATTTTTTAATGCAGATAAAATTGAGTTTATATATACCCTATTTCTGGTTAAATTGCCAAAATAGTTTACTAAACTAAAGTCAATACAATATTTTAGAAAATATAATTGTAAGAGCATGCAACATCAAAAATATTGATACTTATGGGAACCAAAGTTGCAGAGTACAGAAAGAGGTCTATGACACAAAAGCTCATTACATCTGAGTTGTTTACCCAACTGGGAAGCGTAAAGAAAGTAATTTCATCTTATGAAAACATATCTGCCAGGGATGGGGATGTGGCTCAGTGACAGAGTGCTTGCCTGGCATGTGTGAGGCCCTAGGTTCCATCCCCAGCACTGAAGGTTTAAAAAAAAAAAAGCAAAGAAAGAAAAATATCTGCATGATACAGCCACTGTTATACAAAGGGATCTTCACTTAGAAAAATGTGCAAATCACAAGAAGCTAAATGTACTCCTCTCATTATTTGCCCAATTTATTCTTTTCATGAACATACAGCTATCTCTTATTAACTGTTAATATTAAAAGCCATTAGAGATTTTCTAATGGCATCTTTCAGTCACCAATCCCTTATCAGAAAGATAAACTTGATTGGTCCTCAGTATACTAATGTCAAATTAAAAAAACAAACAAAACTGGGCTAATTCTCAAAATAAAAAGATTCATTATTTTAACAAATCCCTTGGTATGAAAAGGCTGCCCTTCCTTCTAAGAAGTAAGTCATATGTTAGAACCACAGGTTCGTATTCACCTCCTGGTCTAACACAATAGAGGCATTTCAGCAAAGTAAAGAAAATTAAATACCAAGTTGATATTAACATGTACACTTAAAGCAAATATTCTACTATTTGCTTTAAATCAACTTATTCCTTGTCATTGAGAGAAGCAGTTCAAGATGGAAATTGTTAATGCAAATAATAATGGGTTAAAAGCCAAAGTTTTTCTAATAAAGCAAATAGATAATTAAAATAATTAGGTTTAAGACATATACTTACTATTAAACTTTCCATTCTTATTATTTTTATAACTAAGCACACACACATACACAACAAATCCTAGCACTTAATATGTGCAAAATTGCTTACCATTTATTTTCATTTTAACTTTGGTTAAGTATTTCTTTAGCCTATATCAGACATGTTATGGAAGCTATACAATGATTACAAACATAATAATGAGGTAAGTTAAAATTCTACTAGTGCAAAAAGCAAATATATGCCAAAAGCAAAGCATATGAATTAAACAAATGCAGAATGAAGCTCTCGCCAAGGAAACTGCTGGGACAACAAACCAGAGAAGCTCCTTGTAAACATTATAAAGTACACATTTAAAGAATCAGGATTCATATAGCCACAAAATAAAGGTATTCTAACAACACTATAGTAGTGCATTTATTTTATCTTTAGAGTTCAGAAACCACTCATTATGTGTCTAACAATTTGCATATTTTCTTCAAAAGAAACTTAGTGAGACACATTAATTACAAATACTGTAGTATAAAAATCCCAGTTCTTTACAAAAATTATATATTAAAATATTCTATACACTTTAAATTAGTAACTGGAACACACATATATATCAATTCTGCACAATTAAATCCATCTTTGCTGGGGATATTATACACAAAGTGTGAGGACATTGCTACTCAGTCAACCTAAACTGGCATAAGGTTATGTGGTATTAAAAAGATAGACCAGTGCCCTTACAGTTATTGTAGCTCTTAGTGAGAAATATCTTTTCTGCAATTATTGCTCTGTATATATTCATTCCAGATTTGAATAGGCAGTGGAACCATGAAATTCCTAAAATATTTAAAACAAGTTACCTGTAGCAGAGTGTTCATAATGTTCATCTGCATCTTTAAGGTTGTAAAGAACCTGAGTTAGCTGTCTAATGCTTATATTTTCATTGTAAAAAAGTTTATACAATTTTGAGGTAAAAATGATGCAAAAATAAAACATCTAGAGCATTTACAAAAATCTTACAAATGTTTAAAACACTATTTCAAAACTTGTGTCCCATTAAGGTGCTTCTTTCTTCTGCAGTAGGAGGACATACACTTTAATTTTGAATTTTAAATTATGAAGCTTTTAATTTCAGAAAAAGCAAAGGTAAAACCATTAAGACACATGAACATGTTCAATGTTCAGGGACATACTCTACATCTGATGAAAATACAAAATTTTAGTGCTGAAAGGGGCCTTGAAGGCAAACTCTTTTAATTCTCTCATCTGTAAGTGAGGAAATTAAGGGCCAGGTAAATTAAGTGCTTTAACCAAATGTACATTTAATACATTGGCCTGGTATGAATCAAGAATACCCATTATTTTTTTTTTAATCTTACCATGATTTTGAAAAATAGAAATTCAAAAGCAGTTTCTGAACTTCCCTTTCTCTCTCTTTAAAATTTTTTAAGCTCTGTGCTAACTATGATTAAAAGAATCAAATGACTACTAACATTAGTATCACAAATATTATCCATAGAAGATAGCTGTTGGAGGATCACCGCTCATAGATAATAAAGTTAGAGGAAGTATTCAGTGATAGGTCATTTAACAATGCAGCGAACACTTACTAAGTAAGACAGTGAAGTGTACACCAGTCAGTTACTAGAATTATCTCAATAATTCTAGGATGACTGAGTTACATAGCCTTTAAAAAAGGTATTGGGGTATTAAAGCCTTCTAACTTTTATCTTAATTTTATTATTTTTCTTTGTAAAAGAGCTATATGTGTAAGGAAGAATCCATATACTAATTTTCAGAGAGTCTTTGCTTCTTTTCTATTTTTATTTGGATCTAGAATTGAGCAAATACATTTTAAGAACAACTTACAAACTCAAATTCATAACTGCTAGAAATACAGTCTTTTAAATGACAAATCTTCATAACCAGTTACTAATAAATAATTATCATCACAACAGCTTCAGTTAAAAAAAAAAGAAAAAAATTCAATTTAAAGATGCTTTTTTATTGTTACCTTGAAGCCATCGAACTTGTGTAGCTGGTCCATATCCCTTTTCATTCTTTGCTGATATCCTGAACACAATGGCAGGCCTGGATGTATAATCAATATGTGCATTTGCAAGTTGCCCAGCAGTTACTATACATGATGTTTTAAGACCACAATAAATCCTCATGAACACAAGCTGGCTTGGATTATCTTGTATCTGTGCTGTGCGGATAGCCAAGTAGGCTGAATATTCCAAAATATTTCCAGAAGGTGAAGTTGGAGGCTCCCAGGAAAGGTGGATACCTTCAACATTCTAAAAAAGAGTGGGGGGAGCAGGTAAAGGTTCTCAAGTTTTCTCTTTTAGTATTTATTATGTTAAGTCTATCTTTAGAACACAAAATGCTTCTTTTTGCTAAAGTAATTGCATTAGATGTTAGATCTCATATTGCTGACTTTTGAAAAGCTACCTTAGTGGGATCTACAATGTTTAATTCATGCCCACTTTTAACAAACATAACAAGCTTTAACAAGCTTTAAATATCTGCCTGTTACACCCTAAAAAGAGGATTTTTCTCTAATGCAGATCTTTTCTTCCCTAAGGAAGAGAATGACTTACAATAAATACAATCCAATTTCATATGTTCTATTAAAATTCTCCAGCATGAACTTTGGGATACATAACAATATGAACAAAGCAGATTTCCCTGCTTCTCTATGATTTGGATGTTTATAATTCTGCTTGAGATTTTGGTAATTAAAATACCATGAGTGATTAGCAAAGAATATTTTTTAAACTTTTAATCCACCTCTTTTAGATATCTCTGATTTCAATAGATCCTAGCAAAAATTTCTAAAGAGTTTACTTAATATAAGAAGTTTCAAATAATATCACCAACCAAGTCTTGACTTGACATCTTACCTTTGAAATTCTGACTGCTGAAGGGGCTCCAGGAAAACCAGGAATACAAGTTTTAAATTCACTGATTTTGCTGAAAGGGCCTATTCCACAACCATTGATTGCAGCAACCCTAAACCTGTATCCAGTGCCTGGAACAAGATCTTGTTTCTTAAGTAAACTGTAGTCAGGTACATCTGCATTTCCTACCTAAAATGTAATATATACAAAAGAAAAAAAAAAACAAGCAACAATTAATTTATTATTTAAATTTTTAAATTATTTAATCTTCACTGAACAAAAAAACTCTTAAAGTTTCAATTCACATTTATTTCTCTCACTCTAAGCAATAAACCTTCTAATACAGAAGAAACTAATAAGCCCATTATTATTCAGAGAATAAGTATTTTTCCAGTAAGGGTATTCTGCACATAAAATGTATGTAGAAAAAAAATTACCAACCATTTTATAAAAACAAAGTAACAATTATCCTACCTCCATGCAAACTTAATTTGGAGCAGAATCTCAGGTTTACTGTTTAATAATAGTCTTCCCAAGAACAATACCCTTAGAGCCAGGCACACTCCTGTAATCCCAGTGGCTCCAGATGTTAGAGGCAGGAGGATCACAAGTTCAAAGCCAGCCTCAGCAAAAAGCGAGGCACTAAAAGCAACTGGGTGAGAACCTGTCTCTAAATAAAATACAAAATAGGGCTGGGAGGCTGGGGTTGTGGCTCAGTGTTAGAGCACTTGCCTAGCATGCGTGAGGCACTGGGTTCAATACCCAGCACCACATAAAAATAAACAAAGTTATTGTGTCCATCCACAACTAAAAAATATTAAGAAAAAAAAAAAACAGGGTTGGGCATGTGGCTCAGTGGTTGAATGCCCCTGAGTTCAATCCCCAGTACCAAAAATAAAGAACAACACTCTTAGAGACAGGCAAGCAAGTCTGATAGAAAAGGAGAGATCAACACATAGTATAGTGAATTTTAAAAAATTATATCCAGGACACTGAATAAATGCTAAATAATTAGATTACATATTCTAAGAAGTTAAATCTTAACATTTATTACTTTCAACTTTTATACATTATCCTTAAACCCTCACAATCTCCCTGTGGGCCAGGGCTGCCAATGTATCATAGATGAGGAAGCTGAGTCTCAAAAGAGGTTAAATAAGTGACCTGCCCTAGTTCGTATTGCTGAGTGCTGGAGCTAGTGAGTCAAAACCAAGTTCCTGGCTCTAAATTTTATGTTATTTCACTTATTTTCTTTCTTTTTATGTACCAGTGATTGAACTTAGGGGCACTCAATCACTGAACTACTTCCCCAGCCCTTTTTTTATTTTTTGAGACAGGGCCTCAGTAAGTTGCTGAGGCTGGCTTTGAACTTGTGATCTTCCTGCCTCAGTCTCCTGAGCTGCCAGGATTACAGATGTGTGTCACCATGCCTCACTATGCTCTTTACTTCTTTTAGGAAAAATCAGGCAGCTAATCGGCCCTTATATGGGTATGTCCTTATATATAACAGTCAACTGCAGCCAGAAATTTCATTAAGCATAATACTAACAAATTATTAACCAGAATTTATTCTTGTCAATATTGGAAAAATTCATTGTGAAAAAGAGGGACATCAAGAGTAATATTAGAGAAATTCAAATATAAGTAATATATATAGTAAATGATATACAAGTTGGGTATCACTTGTATGTGATACAAGTGATCATATACTTGGATTTTGGATGGGTATCCCTCATCCAAAATTCTTGGTACAAGAAGCATTTGGGGGGGGGGGGCTAGGGTTATAGCTCGCCGAGACAGTGCTTGTTTCACGCATGTGAGGCACTTGTTCAATCCTCAGCACCACATAAAAATAAATAAAATAAAATAAAGATATTGTATCCATCTTAAAAAAAAAAAAAGGAAGCATTTCAGATCTCAGGGGTTTTTTTAGGTTCTGGAATATCAGCATACACATGAGATTTCTTAGGGATAAGACCTAAGCTAAACACAAAATTTATTTATGTTTCATGTATACTGTAGGGAGTTGCCCTGGCTCCAAAGACTAACTTCCCCATCCCCCAAGAAGAGCCGTCCAATGGTGAGCCCTGCTGGCTCACATGATCCCTACCCACCAGTCAGAGCCCTGCTGGCTTACCTGATCCTATCCACCAATCAGACTAGCCCTGCTGGCTCACCTGATCCTTACCCTCCAATCAAAAAGCACCCCATGCCAACTGTCAAACCACCCCTGGCTCTATAAATATGCAGAGCTGTTCCCCAATAAATGGGCATTTGCTCTGTTCGTCGACAAGCTTTGTTCCTTCTTTCATATACCTTATACAAATCACCTAAAGATAAGTTAGTATGCTTTCATTTTTATTGTGGCTTGTCACATGAGGAAAGATATGGATTATTCCACTTATGGCAACATGTTGACACTCAAGTTCTGGCTTTTAAGCATTTAGAATTTCAGATTTTTAAACTTACTATCTCCTTTTGGGAAGATCTAAAAATTTAAAGTAAATGTCTATTTCCTTGACAATCCCCTCTCAGAAATTCTCCATCTAAAAAAAAATTAGTCCAACACTCTTTAGAACTGTTATCTATTTAATTAATTCTTAGAAGGTTAATAATGTTTCAATTAATGTATCTATAAGGGGGTCAGACTCAATGGAAAAGCATTCAATAGCATATTGGGGCTTTTACACTTTTTAAAATGTAAAATCAGGAACAAAAAAAAATCTCTCAATAAGAAAGAATGTTTCATTCTTTTTTTTTTTTTTTTTTTTTTGTGTGTGTGTGTGTGCATGTGGTACTGGGGACTGGACCCAGGGCCTTGTTCACGTGAAGCAAGCACTCTACCAACTGAGCTATATCCTCAGCCTCTCTCTTTTTTTTTTTTTAAAGACTGAACCCAGGAGTGCTTTACAACTGAGCAATAACCCCTGTCCTTTTTATTTTTTCTTTTGAGACAGCATCTCACTAAATTGTTTAGGCTCACCTCAAACTTGCAAACCTTCTGCCTCAGCCTCCTGAATCAATGAGACAACATTCAATTCTCTAAACAGAGAGAGTAACAAAATGGGAGACATTTCAAAATAATCCTCATTTTTTAGCTGGCCAGAATAGATTTTTTATGATGTGAAGTCCAGCTTAGTGATAAAGAGTTTTTAAATGACATGTTTGCTATATATTCTATTAAAAGAGCCTTAATAAACTGGGCATGGTGGCACATGCCTGTAATCCCAGCAGCTCAGGAGGCTGAGACAGGAGGATCGTGAGTTCAAAGCCAGCCTCAGCAAAAGTGAGGCACTAAGCAACTCAGTGAGACCCTGACTCTAAATAAAATACAAAATTGAGCTGGGGATATGGCTTAGTAGTTGAGTGCCCCTGAGTTCAATCCCAAGTACCAAAAAAAAAAAAAAAAAAAAAAAAAAAAAAAAAAAAAAAAAGAAAGAAAAGAAAAGAAAAAAAAAGAGCCTTAACAAAGAATACAAGATGACTAAGTATACACAACACTAAATTATAGTGACATGAATAAGATTCATAAAAATAATCTCACTCTCAAGGTTTATAAGAAAATATATCAAGTTACCTTGGAGATGTTTTGCTTCCCTTTTGGCAGCAAATAAAACTGGTTCACCAAAGCTGTATTATTTTTAAAAATTCCCACATCACACCACTGTCGTTCTCCTGCTTTCACTGTGGCCACTGGATTTGAAGGAGACTCTTTCTAATGTTAGAGAAAGAAAGATTTATGAAGATTCTTACTGAGCATATAAGAAAGTTCAAGATTTAATAAATCCATGCAGTGATCTACAAATACAAGTAGGTATACGGGTAAACACCACAACATTAATAGCTTATAAGTAAATAAAGTCTTAACAGATTAGATTAACTGACAGTGAAAAGGGGACACCAATTAAAACACAGGAGTGACAGGCATTCTCAAACTCAGTAGCTCTGTACTATCAACCTGGCTAGAGTTAGCATGCTTCACAATCAGTGATATGTTAAAATTCCAGCTGTTTTATACAACATTGTCATTTCAGAGACCCTCTCCGAAAAATGTAATCCCGCTAGTGAAACATTACACTTGCTCCAAGGGGAGCAAATAAAGAAAAATTCATTCCAAGCTGGCTTTTTACTAGATTCAAAACAACTAGCAAAAATTCAGTGATCTTTGCACTTGAAATACCTGTGATTCTCCAAACCTAAAAGGAGAAAAAATGTTCAAAACTAAAATGCGATTTGAATACATTTTAGTATATACTACAGAGAAGGAGATTTAACAGTTTTAAATGTTTTACCCTGCTTTAAAAGCAAATAAATTTCCTCTACCTTAAGCTACTTTTAGTGGTAAGTGAATTATACTTATCCCTGGAACTAACCTTTTTAAGCCATCTTCTTATAAATGAGACACTGTTTCCAGAAGCTCAAAACAAATGTGCACTTCAGTTATTTATTTCTGTCTTAAATATATAACAGCAGAGGTACATGCTTATCATTCACATTTTTTGTTATTTAGGCTATCACACATGACAAAGTGAACTAACTAGAAGAATCTTTAAGGTTAGAGAAAAAAGGAATAGCTTTAAACTTGTCTTCATTTTTTAAAGTTGTAAAAATTCTCTTCAACAACTTTATAAAACAACTGGCCCCAGCTGAAATAACCAGTACAATTCTGGCTGATGCATTGCAAAGCAGATTCAAAAGAAGAAAGTTCATTTTAACAATCCTTTCTTGAAAAGAATCTAAGAACACTAGGACTTAACATTCTGGAAATATGAAAGCTGATTAAGGTAAATATATGGTCGCAATCCAAAAATTTGAAAGCAAATGAAAACTACACACAATTCTTAGAAGATTCCAAAAGGCAAATCTTATTTAAAACAACAACAACAACAACAAAAAAAAAACTCTTGCTGACAATAATAAAGCTGAAATGACTCATCATAAAAAAACTAAAAAATATATATGCATATATGTATTATCCTTATATACATATCTAATTAAGACAACCTTGGTGTATTTGTGAGGCACTTTCCTAGAATTTTAAGTTTGGTGCCATGCAGATTAACTTTGGCCTTTGCCAGAGATTACTGGGTTGTCCTACGTGTATGTCAATCCAACAGTGCAGTATTCTATTGTGCTCCTAGAAATATAGCCAAGTACTTTTTCTTCCATAACATAACTATCGTTAAACCATTAATGTAATTTACATATCACACAACATATACATATGTGTGTAAACACACACGTATTTCTGATTTAAAAAGTAATGTTTCTTTACAGAAAAATATAGAAAGCATAAAGAGAAAAAAGTAAAAATAATCCGTGGTGGCCCCACAAATAGAATCATGTAGCATTTTAGTGTGCATGTGTGTAGGTACATGTGAGAGTGTGAACTTATGTATTATGTGTGTTTTTTATTAAAATTGGGACCACAGCATATGTATTATCATTTTAGAAAGCTTTTTCCATTACACATTAGGAACATTATCCTATTCAACAACTTATTTCTAAATTTATTATCAGTTCATTACTAACTAAGACATAAGGACCTTTTCATGAATTTACTTAGAAGTTGCTCAGCATTTAAAAAGCAACAATAATCATTTGAAAACATGCATTGTCACCAAGTAATTTACTTACAGCAAATGGCATGGGTACAGCATGCATCTCTACTCGGCTAATCTTAGTTGCAGGCAGAGCACATGTTTCATCAACTAAAAATTAAACAATTAATCAATTAAGATTTATATAATTACTTGGACACATGAAAATATAACTTATAAGTAGGCAGGCATTTAATACCATAGGACTGTACAGTTAAAAATGGTAAAGATGGTAAATTTTATGTTATGTGTATTTTTCAATTTAAAAAACTGGGAAAAAAAGGAGAGGGAGAAAATCATGGTAATTAGAAATATGGGGCTGGGGATGTGGCTCAAGCGGTAGTGCGCTCGCCTGGCATGTGTGCGGCCCGGGTTCGATCCTCAGCACCACATACCAACAAAGATATTGTGTCCGCCGAGAACTAAAAAATAAATATTTAAAAAAAAATTCTCTCTCTCTCTCTCTCTCTCCTCTCTCACTCTCTCTTAAAAAAAAAGAAATATGAACTCTTTTTTATTTATTTTTGTAAAATTTTAGTTGTAGATGGACACAATACTTTTATTTTATTTATTTATTTTATGTGGTGCTGAGGAGCAAACGCAGTGCCTCATACATGTGAGGCAAGTGCTCTACCATTAAGCTACAACCCCAGCCCAGAAATATGAACTTGCATTCAAATTAATTCATATAGTTCATTCTTATGAGTTTGATAACTAGTTGGAACTCCATAGAATGTATACCAAAGATAAATAAGAATTTATAAAATTAGAAATTAATCAAGCTGGAAGAACTGTTAATCCATGTTCTACAACTAATTTTTTATATGGAAAAAGGCTTGCTGGATTTAATCACAGTAGGGAAAATATATTCTGATTATATCTCAGTGTGTGTTAATCTAAATATTTTATGTAAGGCAGCAAAGATTATTTTATATAACATACTTAACTGAAATGCTTTATCTGCTTACATGATTCAATTCGAGATGAAATGCAATTCTCATTTAAGACAAAGAAATCTGATGAATTTATATACATAAATGGTTCAAAATACAGTATGTGAAACACATTTCAAACCTTCAGATTTGGTACTGAATGTTGTTAGTGAAGTTTCATCTTTAACAACTGCCCCATTTGTACTGGATGATTCAGTTTTAATGGTCTGCTGGGTTACCATAGTTTGTGCGCTGGAAACAGTACTGGACACCGAAGTTTCAGGGGTTACTGTTCTTAAGTCCAGGCAACTACTTAGTACACCTACATTTGCTGAAGTGTGAGGACCTAAGTTTAAAGAGAAAAGATCTATTATTAGTACAGTACCTGGAAATAACTATGTCATACTGTTTTTATCATGTTTTCTGGTACTTTCAATTTTAAAATCCTAAACATGAGCCTGCAAATGGCATCAGTATGGTTTGACCATAAGGCATAAAATGTTCAGAAGAAAAATGCATTCTATCTATAGTGGATGTTCAACTTCAGGGCTTCCTCTTCCAATCTAAACACTAAACCACTGTTCTTGAACTCCCTATTAAACCATAGATCAAATGGTTTTGCCTCTTGTGTTATAAAAAAAAAAATTCAAGTCATCAGGCATGGATTCCATCAATTTATTGTCTTCTCCTGATCAAACTAGAAATGGTGCCCATCCTCCCTGTCTTCTCTGTCTTCCCTCATATCTTGGGACCTTTGTTCATCAATCATTCCTGTCTTTTCAGGACTTTTAGATTCTTCTTTAGATTTTAGTTCTCATTACATAAACATCATTAAGTCTCTCAAGCAAGCAAACCCACATCTCCCTTCACCCAGAGTCCCCTCCTGTTTTTATTTCCCCTCACTAATTTTCTTCAGAGCAATTTCCATATCCTTGATCTTCCCAAATTTTAGTTTCTAGCATACTACTCTAATGAAACGGTTTTGGCAAATGTCAATGATTGCTATGGAATACTTTTCAGTATTCATTTACTTGATCTTTCTGCAGTGTTAACAATGCTGAACATATATTCGTTTGAAAACATATTTCTATGGCTCATTCATTCATTCTACAATACTAAAGGTCTGTAATCTATCAGACATTGTGCTTATTTGCAAAGCAGGCAGGATTCATGCCCCATGAGCTCTCTCATATGATAAAGACATTCATACACAAAAAGGCACAAACTGTGATGAAAAGAAAAGGCACATACCAGTATTTTGTCTTTTCCTACCCCTCTAAGCCCCCCAGCTTCTCAACCTCTTTAGTTAGTTTTTCTTCTTCAAATGATGCCTTATATTCTCATGTTGCTTAGCTGCCTTTTCCCCCTCCCTTTGCATATTTTCCCTGTGCTTTAAAAACCATCATGAATCATTCACTTCCCAAATATGTATGTTCCAGGCACTGTACCAGTGGCTGGGAATCTAATAGTGAACAAGTTAACAAGGTCCTTGCTCTTGTGGAACTTATATTTTAGATACTTTTTAAACTTCTAAATGTATATTTCCAGCTGAGGACTCTCTCTTAGACTCCAGATCTAAGTATACAATTTCCCATTAAAAATCTTCACCAATATATTTCTCGTGTTCCTCAAAGACAGTTGAAACTTTCCCCAAATCTGTTCTTGCTCTGATACTTTCTACCTTGACAAAGAGAAGCATTATCCATTCTGATGTTCGACTTTATATTCAACTCACTTTTATTTGTCATATTCACTCACTTGTCAATTTTAATAAACACAACTTTCTAAAAGTCTCTTCAATGATATATTTTCCCTACTCCATCCCATGTACTGCTTTAGTCTCTATGTACCTCCCAGTTCTGACAGAACCCTGCCGAGTCTCCTAACCATTTCTTACCTATTTCTTCCTGATGGTAAGATTAGAAAGCTTATTAAAAAATGAAATATATTCCTCCTTCACTTTCTGAAACACTCTTCAGCAGCTACTCTAAACTGCAGAGGAGAAGTCAACTGGGGAGTCTATGACACATATAAGTATAAACAATGTGCCAGGCACTGTCGCACAACAAATCTGGTTTCACCATTTGCCAAAAATTAAACTATTTAAACTTATCCAAATTATAGGAAATTATCTTCCTTGAATATTTTTATCTAACATAGACCTATAAAGATAAACAGAGATAAAAGGAATATTCATCTTGTTAAATTTGAGTAAGTGAAGAATAATTAGATTTATATCAGCTTTCAAGTTTTTTTTTTTTACAAATTAAAAAATAATCACATTTCTATGTGAGAGATATATCAGAATGAGATTTATAAAATAATTTCAGGAACTGAAATCAGAAGAAATGCTTAATGTAAATGGCATCAGCATATGCAAATAAAATTATCACCAAGTTATAAGCTCTCATGAATGCAATGGGCTAATCAATAGTTCTTATAACTGAGCTAACTTTCTGAGGATAATCCAGTTATTTGCCAAACAAATATTTACTAAGTGACTACTATATTTACCAAGCACAGATCTAGGTGCTGGGGAAATACAAGTGAACAAAATGGACAAAATCCCTGCCTAAAATAAATAATTTCAGGGCTAAGAAAATAAAATAAGTAAAGGAATAATGACACTGAACACTAATATCAAATGTTATCCAAGAACTTTCATATACCCATAACAAGTCATTACTATTCAGGTAAGGGCCTAGTTGGTATTCTGACCTTACTCTAACTAGGTGCAATATGGTAAATATTTTGAGGAAAATTGTTTAAACCACATAACATTTACTTTTTCAATGACTCTAAAACTCCCTATTATAAAAAGGTTTAGTTTTATTCAAAATGTCATCTTTATACCTTCATTTTTCCTTAGCATATCCACCATACAACTATTATGATTAGAAGCATTAGATGCCAAAGAAGAATATAAAATGGCATTAGAATCTGTTGCTTTGAAATCTTGTTTGTTTTTCATTGCAGTTCCTCTCATGGCTGAATGCTCCACTTTTGTACTGTTTACTGTGTCACTGATCTACAAGAAATAAAATAGTTTACTGTAGCAAGCAATGTTCAATGAACAGAAATACATGTAAAAAAATAAGCAAATTAATTTACAAGAAAATGATTTTGAAAGATGTTTATCAAAATATAAAACATTTTAAAACTATATTATTAATTTCTATATAGACTTATTCCCTAAATTTTTAAGAAAATAATTTATTTTCACTTAATCTCCATCTCAAAAGATTAGTTTTTGATTTTGTTTTCGTGGCAATGGGGACTGAATTCAGGGCACTCTCAATACTGAGCTTCACATCTCCAGCCCTTTTTCTTCTTTAAGACAGAGTCTTCTAAAGTTGCTGAGGTTAACCTTGAACTTGCAATCCACCTGCCTCAGAGTAGCTGGGATTGCAGGCGTGCACCACTGTGCCCAGCAACAGACCATTTTTGAAGGGGAAATGAAGGGAGATTTGATTGATTGATTGCTTGGTTGCTTGCTTGTCAGGGGCACTCAATCACTGAGCCAAACCTCCAGTCCTATTTTTTTGTATTTTATTTAGAGACAGGTTCTCACTGAGTTGCTAAGCGCCTTGCCATTGCTGAGGCTAGTTTTGAACTCACAATCCTCCTAACTCAGCCTCCTGAGCCAGATTACATACACGTGCCATTGAGCCTGGCAAGGAAGGATATATTTTAAGGGAAAATTTTTATTTATTTATTTACTGAGACAGGGTTTCACTATGTAAGGCTGGCCATGAGTTCCTAGATTCAAGCAATCCTCCTGCCTTAACCTACAGTGAAGGTGGGGCTTTGGGCATGTGCCACCATACCCAGCTTAAAATCAACATTTTAAATTCTCTATCCAATTTTTAAATATATTCAACCACCTTTTTAATTTCTAAAAGTCTTATCTTATTCTTCATTTCTTTTATAAGACTTTATTCTTGCTTCAAAAATGTAATGCCATCCCTAATCTCTTTTCAAGAGTTATGCCTTTTTAAAAGATTTGGAGTTTTATTCTGGTAGTTAGTATTACAAATAAATACTTCTGTAACAAGGGAAAGAAAATGAAAACTACTGAGTTTAATAGTCTGTTCAAATTTTTTAAACAAAGGTCAGCATGTAGATTAAAGATTTGATGACTCCTGAAAGTAAAATCTGTTCTATGGAAACTTCAAGCAAATGAATTATTCTTAATGATTGAGTTTTCCATATAAAAAATTAACACATATCAGCATTTTTACCATTAAGCATTTTAGATAGGAATCTTCCTAATGAAACTGTCTTTGCCTTCTTAAATACACTATAATGAACACATTTAAACTTTTTCAGTAATTACATAACAATACCTATTGGTCTCCTAAACCATAAAAGAGACCTGGCTTTGTTCAAATACACCAGTATTGCTGCTCTATTTCAGTAATGGTTTTTGTTATACCTTTATTATCAACGCTTATAATTTCTTAAGATTCTAAGATCCCAGTCTAGGGCTATACCTCAGTGGTAGAGCACTTGCCTAGCATGTGTGAGGCACTGGGTTTGAGTCTCAGCACTACATATAAATAAATAAAATAAAGGTCCATTGGCAACCAGAAAAAAATATATTAAAAAATAATAAAAGATTCTTAAGATCCCTAGAATTGCCCTTAACTGGTGGTGATGGTGCATTCTTAATAAATGATGAGGGTAACAACAAGAATTGTACCAGGCATTGTGTTTCTTATTTATAAACTCTGTATTTCACTTAATTGTCACAAGAATTTTGTAAATTGAATAATGTACTCTGTTGTATAAAGAAAACTGAGGGCTGGGGATGTGGCTCAAGTGGTAGCACGCTCGCCTGGCATGTGTGCGGCCCGGGTTCGATCCTCAGCACCACATACCAACAAACATGTTGTGTCCACCAAAAACTAAAAAATAAATATTAAAATTCTCTCTCTCTGTCTCTCTGTCTCTCTCTCTCTCTAAAAAAAAAAAAAAAAAAAAGAAAACTGAAACTCACAGACTTTATGTAATCTGAGACCTACAGTCAGGAAACCAAGAAGTAGCAAAGCTAGAATTTATTTAATTCCAAAGTCTCTGTTATGGTGTCTCTAATACGCTCTTAAAATTCAAACAGTCTAACTACAATTATGTAAAATAAAATATCATAAGAGTTTTGGTTAAATCTGATAGATTAAATACATTTATTTCAGTATATTCCTCCAAAAACTCAATTCAAATACTTAGAAATGAAATATAAAAGTATAAATACATAAGGAATAAGAGTATGGTAAGGGAGACGATTGTAGGTAAGATATAAAGTAGAAAAAGCTAGACACTAAGAGCCTAAAGGGAAAAAGTCATTAAGATGCAAACCTGTGCTGCAGGACCCAGGAAGGTATCAGGTCTAAAAAGGCAGAAGTTAGAAGCAAGCCAGGGAAGGAACCCTGGAGACCTGTCACAAGGCAGCCTGTGCGCATAGTGCTGAAGACCAGCTAGGCTGTCTCGGCATACTAAGCCAGAAGAATTCCTCTCTCCCATTCTAACTGAAGAGGGGAAGTAAGCAGGCAGGTTGATATGTGAGGCTCTAGTGTCCCTCAAATAAGGGTGGTGGTGACCCTTTAAGCAGTCATGCTAAAAATGGGAATTAAGTGTAAGTTCACCTGTAGAACAGAGAGACCTACTGCCCCATTCCTTTACTTCGCTCCTAAAATACTGATGACCAGACTTAGAACCCCCAGGCAAGAAGCTAGAGAATATTTGTGAATTCCCACCCAATTACCCTTAGTAGCAGACTTTATTAAGGTCTAATAATCAATAAGCATGCATAGAGTCTCCAATCTATTCTTTCAGCCCTCACTTGGAACATAAGAGGACAGCCAAACTCACAGACCATTTAATGACAACCTCTAATGAAAGCCCAAATTTTAAAAATATAAGGAAACTGAGGGCTGGGGCTATAGCTCAGTTGGTTAGAGTGCTTGCCTCGAATATACAAGGCCCTGGGTTTATTCCCCTACATCAAAAAAAAAAAAAAAAAAGACTCTTGAACAAAAAGAAATATTGCAGAGCAGAATAAAACTCCAAATCTTTTAAAAAGGCATAATTCTTGAAGAGATTAGGGAAGGCATTACATTTATAAAGCAAGAATAAAGTGCTTATAAAAGAAATAAAGACAAGGCTTTTAGAAATTAAAAATGAAGTTGAATATATTTAAAAATTGGATAGAAAATTTAAAATATAAAATGAAAGTTTTCAGAAAGTAGAAAAAGAGAGTAACAGTAAAATTAGAGGACCAGCTCAGGAAGCCCATTGTTCAACAGGAATTTTAACAAATTTTTAAAAATTAACAAAGCATTAGAGGAAAGAAATAATCAGCAATGAAAGCCTTGAGTTTCCATAACAGTGGGGCCCACTAAAGTGCACAGCATATCACAAATGAAGACTCATACCCTAAAGCATCATAGGTAAAATTTCTGAAAACAGGATAAAATTAGGTCATATATTAAAGATTAGGAAGCCAGGTGATAACAGCAACAGTGAATGCTAAAAACGGGAAGGGGGCAGGGGGTATGTCTTTAATTTTCTGAGAGAAGTTTCCAGTATAGAATTCTTTTTCTTTTTTCTTTTCTTTTTTTTTTTTTTAGTATTTTTTAGTTGTCAATCGATGTTTATTTTATTTTTTTAAATATGGTGCTGAGAATTGAAACCCAGCACCTCACACACGCTAGGCAAGTGCTCTACCACTGAGCCACAATGCCAGCCCCTCCAGTATAGAATTCTATAGCCCAACTCAACTATCAGTAAAATGTGAAGAGAATAAAGAAATTTCTAGATGCACAAGATCTCACAATGTATACCTTTCATAAGTCATTACTACTGGAGAGAATACTGCAACAAAACAAGAGAAAACACCAGAAAATAGGAACAAGATCAGGAAGCATGGATCCTAGCATAGGAAAAAGACACTATGATACTGATAATTATGATGGTGACATTCACAGGTAAGTTATAAAAGTGCTTTGAGTATTGTTCCTTTCTTATTCAATTATTTTTCCTGGTATTAACTGCCTCACTTTATTTATTTTATTTCTTTATTTACTAATTATGAAGTGATTCATGGAAGCTAATGAATAGCTTACCAAAATTCATTAGTATTTTGCAAATTGTTATCTATACCAGGAGACTCTCTTCATAGAAAATGATGAAGATATAGACATATTTGTTTACTTTTCTTCTTGCCTATCATTAATTCATACTCAAAATCACATCAGAGGTACTCAATTTAGCAATTGATACACTGTGGGGAAAAATATACAATAAAGAATATGTTCATGTACATATTTAAAGGATACCTCTAGAAATGTAGAATACATGTATTTATTATATATAGGAAAGTTCCAAAACAGATCTGTAAATATGAATAGTCTCTGATATATAATGAGGGTGACCTTCTCTTAGACAGGGATTCTTAATCCTTAATATCACAATGGTCTGTAAAGCTTTCTTTCTTTCCTTTTTTTGCAGTTTTAGGGGGTACAAGCAAGGGGATTCACATGCTAGGCAGGCACTCTATCAAGGAGCTACACCTCCAAGCTCTGAAGCGTTCTTTAAAAACAGAGCTGTCCAGGCATCTCAGAGATGATTCTGATGTGTACCAGGGTTGAGGATCCCTGTTCTAAAGTAATGCACTAAAAATCTTAATAAAAATTGGGACTTTAACAATAAACATTCAACTGCCATTATAAATGTGTTAACTTACACTGTTCGGAAGGATGCTATTACTGCCTTGTCTCTGAGGGTCCACTCTGCCTCCTGTGGGAATGACAAAGTTCAGACTGATATGCTCTTGATGAATATCAGTAAAACATATTATTAAAATATTCTTTAAAGTTATATATTAAAGATTTTTTAAACAGCACTCTCTCAAAATTTATCTGTTTTCTTAATAGTTTAACAGCTAACTGAAACTCTTTCTGGAAGACTGTGTAAAATAAAATTTGCTTTTACTTTCCAAGTGCCTAATTAAAAATACATTTGAAAAAGGTGAAACAGCCAGGCACGGTGGCGCATACCTGTAATCCCAATGACTTGGGAGGCTGAGACAGGAGGTTCATGAGTTCAAGGCCAGCCTCAGAACTTAGCGAGGCCATAAGCAACTTGGTAAGACCCTGATTCAAAGTAAAAAGGGCTACAGATCTGGCTTAGTGATTCAATCCCCAGATTTAAAAAAAAAAAAAAAAAGAAAGAAATATTTTTGAAAGCTAATCAAAAACATCTCCTGAACTCAAGAAACATCAATTTTTAAAGTGCATTAAAATTAACTGCAGGAAAAAAAATCTATTCTGCACGTCTATCCATTCTGTTGCACATAATGGTACACAGCTAAGTTTCAGACCTGAAACTCAATATATAAACTTACCATTGGATCATAAAAAAAAATTTTAATATCTTTATTTATTTTTATGTTGTGCTGAGAAGCAAACACAGTGCCTCACTCGTGCGAGGCGGGCGCTCTACCACTGAACTATAGCCCCAGCCCTGGATCATAAAATTTCTTAAACCAAGCAATTAATACTCTTGCAGTAGACTTTTTTGTATGTGTAGTGCTGGGGAGTGAACCCTGAGGCACTTTACCACTGAGCTACATCCCTAGTCTTTTTAAAATTTTGAGACAGGGTCTCACTATATTGCTCTAAGTTGTGATCCTCCTGCTTCAGTCTCCTAGTCACCAGGATTATAAGGTGCACCACTGAGCCCAGCTGCAGTATATTTTTTAAAGTATACATGGTTTCTATAAGCATGACTTTCATTTTACCTGACATATTTAATGCTGCTGAAGAATCTGATGGTGCAGCTTGGTAAGGCAAGTCTGTATTCAGCTGCAAAAGATAGCCTTCAACGGTAGGTACTTCATCCCACTTGACATGGAAAGAGTTGGTAGTAGCTTTGATCAACTGTACTTGTGATGGTGCTGGTGGTTTCTCTAAAGAATAATATTAATATTACACATTTTAGTTTCAAATTTAGTATCAATAGTTTGCCTTCAAAGTTTATGTGGACTGTAGCTTGGAAAACAAAAACAAGGAACATACCATATTTTTTAGCAAGAGAGAGAAAATTTACTCATATATACATAGCTATAGTAGATCAGATGAAAGTAGTCTGAGGTTCAGATTCTGTTTGTTTAATTTCTTTTTTTAATATTTATTTTTTACTTATAGGGTGACACATATCTTTATTTTATTTATGTGGTGCTGAGGATCGAACCCAGGGCCTCACGCATGCTAGGTGAGTGCTCTATCTCTGAGCTACGATCCCAGTCCCAAGTTTAATTTCTTTTTTAAAAATATTTTTAGTTGTAGATGGACACAACACTTTTATTTTATTTACTTATTTTTATGTGGTGATGAAGATTGAACCCAGTGCCTCATACATTCGAGGTAAGTACTCCATCACTGAGCTACAACCCCAGCCCTATTTGTTTAATTTCTTATACAAATAAATCTACAGGGCTAGGGTTGTGACTTAGTGGTAGAGTAATGAGGAAGTAAACTAAGAAAAGGGAAAATGTGGGATCCAGGAAACAGGGAATCCAGCACAGGTGTGAGGTAAAATATAACTCCAGTAAAATGATAAAGACTCTAGGTTGATAGCTGTGCTGGATTTGTAGAGGGCAACCATCCCAGAGTAAGGCAGGAGAACTCTCTTCAGAATATTGAATTTGAGGGGCTGGGGTTGTGGCTCAGTAGTAGAGCACTCACCAAGCATGTGTGAGGCGCTGGATTCAATCCTCAGAACCACATAAAAATAAATAAATAAAATAAAGGTATTGTGTCCAACCACAACTAAAAAGATAAATAAATAAGTTAAAATGATGAATCTGGTAGAATATCTGATGCATCTAACCGTAATGAGAGAAGATTTAACAAATAACAGTACAGACTGAACTAGTGGTACATGCATACAGATCTAACATGAACAAAACAGACAATTTGCTCCATGGCAAACAGAAAACCATACAAGGAAGATTCAACTATAAATAGTGTTTATACAGTCATAATGTAAATACTGAATACTCATCTAATGAAACTCTGGGGTAGTCATAGTGAAAGACAGGAGGTGGAAAAAGTACAGAAGAGAGGTGACGTATTATGGGAAAAGATCCTTTAATTTTCATAGTAGAAAGTGGGTATATTACACCAAAACTGGAAAACAAACAAACAAAGTAACAATATATGCATGCAACAGTAGAGATCTGGAAGTAAAGGATCTCATTAAACAGAGTTGAAAACAGATGCTTATAAAAACAAGAAAAAACAGGACTTATTTTTCATGAAAAGTCATATTACGGAGTTCTAGTACTCATTTAAATATGATCCAATGTATAAAGTTTAAAAGTGAAAAAGGCAAGATAAATATCCCCTACCTCCCCCAAAAAGTGATGATAATTTTCTCAGCAAATTATTCAGGCTAAAAACTTCACCCTTAATTCTTCTCTTTCTGCTACCTGCCACACCCAAATTCTGCCATTATGGCAGTGGCCATGATTACTTTTAGAGGAAATATTGGTGTCTAACATCTTTGATTAAAAAACTAGCCACTCAGATCCAATGGTTTATATACTTTTAAAGTCACAGATCCCTTAGAGAATATGTTTAAAGTGATATATATTTCCTACAGAGTGAAATTCATCATGTACACATATTTTTTTTATTATTTTTATTTTTAGTTATAGAGAGACTCAGTATCTTTATTTTGTTTATTTTTATGTGGTGCTTAGGATCGAACTCAGTGCTTCACATGTGCAAAGCAAGCACTTTGCCACTGAGCCACAACCCCAGCCCCATGTACACATATTTTTATCCTTGGATTTTGGTTACTAATTTCCAGTTTCAGAGACCACTAGGTATGTTGGAGTTTTCATATTTCTCTCCTGCTTGTTAGGATGGGCTTCTTCTGTAGAAATTATTTAGTCTCTAGCTTTGCTGTTCCACTTATTATTTTTTCAACTATCTTAATTTTAACATTAAACTGTTTTATATTACAAAAGTAGTACATGCTACCGTAGAAAAGAGTGATAAGTCAGAAAACTGAACTCAAATCTCACCTCTCAAATAATACTTAAGTGTGTCAACTTGCTAATTTTTTATTTACACACTTAAAAAAACTGGAGTCCAGGTTGGGGCTGTGGCTCAGCAGTAAAGTGCTTGCCTAGTACTTGCAAGGTGCTGGGTTCAATCCTCAGCACCACATAAAAATAAATAAACAAAATAAAGTTATTGTGTCCAACTACAACTAAAAAAAATTAAAAAAAAAACAACTGGGGCTGGGGTTGTGGCTCATTGGTAGAATGCTCGCCTAGCATACATGAGGCACTGGGTTCGATCCTCAGCACCACATAAATGTAAAATAAAGATACTATGTCCACCAAAAAAAAAAAAACTGGAGACGCAGGTATGTTTTATAATTTTCTTTTCCTATAATACCACAAATTACAAAAATTCTAGATCTAATGTCTACACTAATCTGTAGATCTGCTTATTCAATCAATTGTTTGTTTGATATCATTTTAAACTTAGCCTGGTCTAAATTCAACACAGTTTTCTCCATTCAACACAATCTCAGCAAATTATTCAGGCTAAAAACTTCACCCTCAATTTTTCTTTCTGTTACCTGCCACACCCAATTTATCAGCCAGTTCTGTCAACAGAATCCAAAACATATCCTGAGCTTACCCATTCTTCCCCTTCTGCACTGTCTCCACTATAGCCTAAGACAGTGGTGATTCCTCCAAGAGCCCCCTAACTTGTCTCCCTGTATACACTTTTGCCCCCACAATTTATTTTTCACACAATTGCCAGTGTCCATTCCCAGGGTACAACCAATCGTATCACATCTCCTTCAAACTTAAACATATCTTACCATTGTATTTTTAAAACAATTTACAAGTACACAAGAGGCCATGGGTTCAATATTAGTTATCACAAAAATAAATAAATAAATCAGTCAATGAATAAATAAACAATTTAAAATCTTCTATGGCATTCAAGGACCTTCATGATCTGTCCCATGGTGATCTCTAACTTCCATTATTACAATCTTTTCTTTGTTTAACTGGCTCAAATCTATTCCCAAATACGCCAAATCTTCCCATCTATGGATGGGCTCTTGAATTTGCTCTTCATTCTTCCTGCAATAATTTCCCCACATTTTTAGGTGGGTAGCTCCTCCTCACCATTTGGAACATATCCCATATATCATTTCTTCAGAGGCCTTTTCTGACTATTCACTCTGAAGCAGCTACCAGCCTCAATTCCCAGTACCTCCAAGCACTATCTCATGTCTCCACATGCTTACCAGAAATGGTACTTATTTTGTTCATTTGCTTGTCGTACTATTTGTTATCCCCCGCCCTCACACTCTTTCATAATGTAAATCTGTGCAAGTAGGGACATTACCAGTCTTGTTCACTGTTGTATTCTCAGCACTTTTTGCATCACAGCTGTCAGTAGATATTTATTGAAAATGGATGTGAGTTTCACATTTAAAAAATTCTTGGTGCACTAACACTTTAAGAAAAACCCACTTTAATATGTGGTAATTTCAGATCTACAGAAAAGATATGAAGATAGTACAGTGTTGCCATCTACCTTCTCCCCAACATTTGCTAAAACTAAGAAATTGCCACTAATTAATACTATTTACTAAAATTCACACTACTCAGATTTCCTCGTTTTTCAATTAAGCCATTAAGTTCCAAGTTTTCAATTCTGTGACTATTTCAACAAAATTGACATAGGTGCCTTATGAAATAGGTTGGAAATCATAATCTATAATTTATATATATTATTTTATTAATATTAATGTTAATTATAATTAGATCCTTTTATATAATTATGTTGCATCTTATAAACTATGTCTAAGCTTTTATACACACTCCACAAATCTGGGACAATAGGACAAAATGGTTTAATGTCTTTTGGCTTCTTGGATCCAATCCAGGACACCATGCTGCCTTTGGTCATCTTATCATTTTACACTCCTCCATTTGAGACTATTTCTTAGTCATGTTTTAATCGTTTTGAATCTTTTGAAGATTACTGTACAAATATTCTGTAGAAAGTCTAGAACGTTCCTCCATTTGAGTTTACCTGACATTTTTCAAAGTTAGATTCAAGTAATAGATTTTTGGGAAGAGTACCACAATGATGAAGTACTTTCTTATCATGATTTCCAGGAGGGTAAATATATCAGTATGACTTATCAATAGTGACATTAACCTTGATCACTTCAGTAAGGTGGTGCTTACAGGTTTCCCCATGAGACTACTGTTTTTTCCCTTTCCATACTCTATTCTTTGGAAAGAAATCTCTAAGTTCAAGCTACACTCAAGAAAAGAGCAATTAATATATATTCCTCTGATGTGGGAAATATCTACACAAATTATTTCTCTCATTTTTTTTAATTATAAGAGGCAGTGTCATTTAGATTAAGTCTTAAAAGACAAAAATTATTTGAGTATTTACCTAAAGGATAGATTTTATTTGCTAAATAAATACTCTTACCCACCAGTATCAAGATACCAAAGATCCTTGCAGCAAACTTGACTATTCAGTGCTTTTTTGTAGCCATCTCTTCCACTCCAAAAATATAATCGAGTGCCAATTGCTACGGCACAGTGTCCAGCTCTTGGTCTTGGTCTTGAATTTTTTTTATCTTCCTGAGAATCTGATACTAGAGTGGTCCACTCTGCTGTATCTAAAACCATAGGAATATCCATGATTGATTTATTATTCTTAAACATCAAAATTTCACAAATTCTTTTATTAATAAATCTTATTTCAATGAGTAAATCTTAAAAGACTCACCTAGATTTAGGTAAGAAAATGAACTGGTACATCTCCATTCACAATCATGAGGTGAAGTCTCAATATTTTCCCCCTTATGTGGAACCCATCCACCAAAAATGTACATTCTGAACAACAATCAAAAAAAAAAACAAAAACAAAAACCAGAAAACCAAGAACAGAAAGTAGGTGATTTAATTTCACTTGTTGGATTAGAATGTTAAAAATGAACATAAGATTTATTTGTTGACTCAGTTTCAGGACTGCTAGGCACAATATGTACATGCCTATAATCTCACCTACTTAGAGGCTCAGGCAGAAAGATTACAAGTTTGAGGCCAGCCTCACTAACTTGATAGATCCTCAGCAAATTAGCAAGACCCTCTCTAAAAATTGAAAAAAAAGAATAAGGGGCTGGGGTTGTGGCTCAGTGGTAGAACGTCTGCCTCAGACACGTGAGGCACTGGGTTCAATTCTCAGAACCACATATAAATAAATGAATAAAATAAAGGTCCATCAACACTAAAAAAATAAAAATAAAAAAGAATAAAAGGACCAGATGTGTGGCTCAGAGGTAAAGTGACTCTGAGTTCAATCCCTAATACCAGAAAAAAACAAAAAATAAATTTAAAACTATGTCCTCAGAGTCCTAGAGGTTCTTGAGAAAAGCCTCATGGCTGCTAAAGAAGATAAGTTCATCAGGTAGAGTTTATGGATCATGAGTCCTTACGCCAATCAGGGAAACTCCACATTTTTTGAATTTTATATGCTGGAATATATAATATTCCAATGGAAAACTGCATTGTTCAAGATTATGTTTAACTGTGAAAATGATTCTGTTTGGCTCTGAAGCTTTTATTTATTTATTTATTTTTGTGATATTGGGGATTGAGCCCGAGAGCTGTACTACTGAGTCACATCCCCCATCCTTTTTTTTAATCATTATTTTTATTTTGAGACAGGGTTTAACTAAGTTGTCTATATTGGCCTCAAACTTGCGATTCTCCTACCTCAGCCTCCTGGGTCTCTAGGATTGCAGGCATGTGCATACTGGCTTTTTAAAAAAAAAAAAAAAAACACTTGTTATATACTGAACTTCAGACTACTCAGCTCTTACCATTTTTTCAATTAATCTATTAAGTCCCGAGTTGTCAATTCTGTGAATTAGTGAGATTCTAAATTACAACTAGTACTGTCCTAAAACATTACATTTAAGGTTAAAACCCTGTACTAGTAAATACTTCATTAAGTTCTACTTAAATAGTACTCCTAACCATGGCCAGTGTTACATAAATAGGGATACTTGTACAGTTAATATTTTTCAAGTGCTCTGAATGTATAGGGCACTGTTCTAAGCATTTTTATGTATTAATACATTTAATTCTCACTAAAACTTTGTGAAGTTTTACTTTAATCTGCATTATATTCTTGAGGAAACTGAGGTACAGATGAATTAAATTTCCTTGCCCCAGGTCACAAAGACAAGTATGAAACCTGAGGCTTGAATTTAGGCAATATAGTTACAAAGCCTGTATTCTAACCATAACTCCATATGTCCTTCCAAACACAACTATTGTATGTGCCTGAATACAAATCAAGCAGTGCTAAAAATATGTCAAAAGAAACAGTGAGATAGGTATACCAAACCATCCACAAAAAATCTATCAGTTGACAACATCCTGCCTTACACTCAGGTAGTGCCTACTCTGGACAAGGAGTTGTGAGAAAGATAAAGATGTATGAGGCAATATGAAAGAAAATGACAAAGACATATAAGAAGCAGTATGATAAGAAAATGATAAAGTATTTTAGCTTCTGCAAATATTTTTAGCTTTAGAAAGCACAAACATCATTAAGTTCAGTAATCTATTTCCAAGAAACTAGGAGTATCACTTTTACATACATCTATTTTTTTTTTAAAGCAAAACAACACAAAAAAATCCTTACTTATTTCCTATAACACTGGCCGTGTGAAGGCTTCGTGGAAGTGGAACTGTCCCTTTAGTTTCTGGTTTTGACCATGACATAGTTTCTAAAAGTAAAAAAAAAAAAAGGATATTGGCAACTTGATCTAATATAGCAAATTACCTCAACTTGTGTAATTTTTTAAAAAATAGAACAAAGTAAGTACTTGTCAAAATGAAGTAAAAATGTTTCACAGCAGTTATATGAATTTCATCTTAAAATGAACATTTTCAGTTGACATAAATTGACAGAAATCTATTTACACTTGAATGTTAGCATTTGTTATGGAGAAGGTGTACTTAGAGTATCACCCAATTCTGAAATAAGAACAATATTAGTGTTTTTAATGTTTCAAGTAAAAGTACATTGTGTGTACTTTATACATGTTGAAGGTAGTGTCACCCTGCGTACCTGTATGGCTTCTTCAGACATGTTTTTTGGTTTTTTAAATATTTATTTTTTTAGTTATAGATGGACATAATGTCTTTATTTTACTTTATGTGGTGCTAAGGATCAAACCCAGAGCCTCATGCATGCTAGGCAAGCATCTACCTCTGAGCCACAACCCTCAGCTCCAGACAGTGGATTTTAGCATTAGTATTAAATTCATATAGTAAACAGAAACCCCAGACCATTCATTCAACAAACATTTACTATAGTGTACTTTATAGTTAAAGGTGAAGAGACACATTTGCCCTTTAGTCACTCATTCCTAGAGTCCCTTCAGAAAAAGCTACCTAAGGGTTTTTTAATGACTAATTGCTAATGCTACATTTCCTATTGATAAGGTAGCCTTATATAACTTTCAACTGGACACTTTTCAGTGTGAAATGGAGTACTACTGATAATTACACAGAACAGTAAGCATAAAGCTGGACCATACCAGGTAAAGCAGGACCATATCTGGTAAACCAGAACCTCTGGTGAAACTACTTACAGGGAACACAGAAGAGTTACTATCACATATCAAATTCATTTGTTTAGCCTAACTGATTGCATCACATCTGTGTCTGAGACTACAAGTACAGGCTATAATTAATGCAACTCAATAAATACTACAATCAAAAATATTTTCAAGGGCTGGGGTTGTGGCTCAGCGGTAGAGCACTCGCCTAGCACATGCGAGGCCCTGGGTTCGATCCTCAGCACCACATAAAAATAAATAAATAAGGATATTGTGTCCAACTAAAAAATAAATAAATATTTTAAAAAAACATTTTCAAGGTATTTGAAATTTGCCCTTACAATCATACCAATCTAGCCTGAGTCAAGTTAAGTTTACCTAAGTCAAGCTGCCACAGGTCATCCAGGCGAGCACCACACATTCCACCAAAAACATACATTTTAGGACTTCCAGAATCTTTTTTGCAATATATAACAGCTGTGTGAGATTCTCTTGGAGAAGGCACAATCCCTTTAGTGACTGGAATGCTCCATCCCACAACACCAGAACCATGCTGCAGCTCCAACTCATAGAAATCATTTAAATATCTGCATATCATGAAAAAAAAGAAAACATTCAGATAATACATGTCTTTTATCTGTTTTTTGCTTCTATTCATAAAGTATGTAAAAAATTCATATTAGAAACAAAGCACAGAGGGGCTGAGGTTGTGGCTCAGTAGTGGAGCACTTGCCTAGCATGTGTGAGGCACTGGGTTTGATCCTTAACACCACATAAAAATAAGCGAGTAAGGGGCTGGGGATGTGGCTCAAGTGGTAGCACACTCGCCTGGCATGCGTGCGGCCCGGGTGCGATCCTCAGCACCACAAACAAACAAAGATGTTATGTCCGCCGAGAACTAAAAAAATAAGTATTAAAAAATTCAAAAAAATAAGCAAATAAAATAAAGGTATTTTATCTACCCAAAAATAAAAAATAATAATAATAATAATAATAAAGAGAGAGGACAGAAAGAATGGTTGGACTCTCAAATAGGAAGATTTAAATGGTTATTCCCCTGTTTGATGTCTTAAGTGGGATTGCTGAAGGACATGCCAAAGGTACTATCCACTCTGTGTGACCTCTTCAGATGATGGTTTTTAGCATTAGTGTTAAATTCATAAAGCCACAAGAAACCCCAGACCATTCATTCAACATTTACCAAATACGACTATGTACCAGGTGCTCTTCCAGAGCTTAGCAGAGAACAGAAGAGAGCAAAAAAATCCCTGCCATCATTTAGCCAACAGTGAAGGTATCAGTGACAATGGTGGTAGCTTTAAAACACAAATCAAAATTTTCTGACACTCTTCCCATCAGGGGGTGGGGTCTATGACTCCTCCCTTTGATTCTGCACAGATCCATATAGCTTCACAAAATCATTGTTCTTGAACATGTAAAAAAGTCTAGCTACCAAAAAAAACCACCATCTGAAGAGGCCACCATGGGTACACGGGGTGACAGTACTTTCAGTATGTCCTTCAGCCATCTCAGTTGAGGTATCAGATATGGGAGTAACCATTCAAACTTTCCCACTTCAGAGTCCAGCCTTCTCTTTTGTGTCCTGTATGAATTTCTGACCCACAGAGTTCATGAGCATAATAAATAGTTGTAATTCTGCAGCACTAAATGTTGGGCAGTTTATCACACAACATATACTTCATACAATATTTGGGCAAATACCTATAAGACACATCTCTCTCTGGATGTCAACATATGATAAACAAGGCATATACAAATGCTGCTTTGCAACTTTTCTCCCCACTGCAATGTCATAGCAATGTCCAAGTAGCTTCTTTACTTTAGACGCTGGCATTAAACTTATTTGTGTTATGGATGTTTTCAAAGTTTTCAGCAAAATGACTTTAGTAGGAATCTACTTCCTACCAAATTTTTACTCAAGAAATGAGGGCAAGGGGCTGGGATTATGGCTTAGCAATAGAGCACTCGCCTAGCAAGGCCCTGGGATCAATCCTCAGCACTACATAAAAATAAATAAATAACATCAAAGTACTGTATTCAGCGACGACTGAAAACAAACATTAAAAAAAAAAAAAGAATGAGGGCAAGGGTTGGAGCTGTAGTTCAGTGACAGAGTGCTTGCCTAGCACATGTGAGGCACTGGGTTCAATCCTTAGCACAATAAATAAATAAATAAATAGATACATAGGTAGATAGATAAATAAACACATTCTGTCCATCTATAACTTTCAAAATATTTTTTTAAAAAAAGAAAGAGACCAAAAGAAAACATTTTAGGACATATAAAACTTCAAAGTTTAGCCATGTAATTGTTCTGGGAAAAAAAGATTCAAAATGTTAACTAGGAAAAAGAAATTCAAGAAAGGCATAAGAGAAATGGTAGAGCAAAACACCAGTAAATTATGGTTATATTTTTTAATATTTATTTTTAGTTATAGTTGGACACAATACCTTTATTCTATTTATTTATTTATTTATATGTGGTGCTGAAGATCAAACCCAGGGCCTCACAAGTACTAGGTGAGCACTCTACCACTGAGCCACATCCCCAGCCCGTTACTTTTTTTTTTTTTTTTTTTGTGGTACCAGGGATTGAACTTTGGGACACTTGACCACTGAGCCACATCCCCAGCCCTATTTTCTATTTTTTATTTGGAGACAGGGTCTCACTGAGTTGCTTAGTGCCTCGCTTTTGCTGAAGCTGGCTTTAAACTCAAGATCCTCCTGCCTCAGTCTCTGGCTGGGACTACAGGCGTATGCCACTGCACCCAGATAAAGTGATATTCTTAATTGTCACTAAGAAAAATGTACTAAAAAATGGCATAGTGGCACAATCTGTAATCCTAGCAACCTAGGCAGGAGGATCTCAAATTTGAGGCCAATCTGAGCATCTTAGCAAGACTCTGTCTCGAGATTTAAAAAAAAAAAAAAGTAGGGGGGTGGGGATGTAGCTCAGTGATGAAGTACCCCTGGGTTCAATCCAAGTATTGGAAAAAAAAATTACTAAAAAGCTAATTTCTTAACATCACTATAGTCCAGAATAGATTCAAGAATATATTGAACATACAGCAAAAGATGATAGGCAAAAGAATGCTAATGGTAAGACAGCAATTTATTCCCAGAGGTGATAAGATATTTTCAGTTTAAAATGAGTGTTAATTTCTAAGCAACTGAGGGAAGCAAAGAATTAAGAAAAAAATTAAAAATGGTAAAACAAGTAAACAAGTAAAGCATACCACACAGAAAACATTTAATAAGTTTTTTTTTTTTTTTTTTTTTAGAAAGACCCACCATAAACTGTATGAAAAGAAAAAGGTCAAAGCCAGGTATAGTGGTACATGCCTGTAATCTCAGTGACTGGGGAGGCTAAGGCAGGAGGGCTGCAAGTTCGAAATCAGTCAGCAATTTAGTGAGACCTTGTCTCAAAATTTTAAAAAACTAAAAAGATCAGGAATGTAGCTCAGTGGTAAAGCATTCCTGGGTTCAATACCAAGTACCAAAAAAAAAAAAAAAAAGAAAGAATGAAAGAAAGAAAAAGATCAAACTGGAAAAATGTTTTTTTGTTTTTTGTTTTTTATACATCACAGAAAAAGGCTAAATTTTCTTTTTTTAGTTTTTTTAGTTGCAGATGAACACAATACCTTTATTTTATTTATTTATCTTTACGTAGTGCTGAGGATGGAACCCAAAGCCTCGCACATGCTAGGCAAGTGCTCCACTGCTGAGTTACAACCCCAGCCCCTACCAAATTTTCTTAATATAAAGAAATACTGGGGCTGGGAATGTGGCTCAGCAGTATAGCACTTGCCTAGCAAGGGCAGGACCCGGGTTCAATCCTCAGCACCACATAAAAATAAAGGCATTGTATTGTGTCCATCTAGACCTAAAAAAAAAATATACAAATATTAAAAAAAAGAAATACTAAAAATGAAGATAATGACCAATCAATAACAGATATAGCACTCACTCCCCAAATAAAATAGGCAAAATCATTGAGAGTGTGTGTGTGTGTATATATATATTTTTAAATAAGCAATGTGAACTTGACAAGGTATGAAACAAATTCTGTAATATAATAAAAGGAGTCTTAACTAGGAATAAAAATGTGGCTCATATTTCAGAATTTAATAACAATTCAGCCAGGCCCGCTGGCGAACACATGTAATCTCAGCCAGTGGTTTGGGAGGCTGAGGCAGGAGCTCCTGACTGCGAGTTCAAAGCCAGCCTCAGCAACAGCCAGGCACCAAGCAACTCAGTGGCATCCTGTCTCTAAATAAAATATGAAAAAAAAGGTCTGAGGATGTAGCTCGGTGGTAGAGTGCCCATGAGTTCAATCTCTGGTACCCCACTCCCCCAAAATAGATTTTTTTTAAATTTAAGAAAGGATTAGGGATGTATCTCAGTGGTAAAGCACCCCTAGGTTCAAACCACAGTACCAAAAGAAGCAGAAAATATCCTCATTAAAGGCATATACCAGAAAACAATGCAATTAATGATAGAAAAGTAAATAAATTAATGACACAGAATAAAGTTTAAAGCAAGAGTCAACAATCTTCCTCTGAACAGGGCTAGATAATAAATATTTTAGACTTGGTGGACCACAAAGTCTGTTGCAACTACTCAACTCTACTATTTTAACACAAAAGCAACCAAACATAATAAGCAAATGAATGGACATGGCTATCTTCCAATAAAACTTAAAAAAAAAAAAAGTTTACTTTTTAGTTGGAGTTGGTCACAATACCTTTATTTTATTTATTTTTATGTGGTGCTGAGGATTGAACCAAGGGCCTCACAGGTGCTAGGCAAGAAAGAGCTCTACATCTGAGCCACAACCCCAGCCCATCCAATAAAACTTCATAAATAAAAATAGGCCAGCAGGCAAACTTTGCCCACAAAGCACAGTCTGCAACTCCTGGTAGGAAGCCTAGAAATTAACCATTTATACAAAAATTAAGGCATTTTAAAATGGCTTATGTAAGATGGCGCGATGCATGCCTGTAACCTTAGTGGCTCAGAAGGCTGAGACAGGAGAATCACGAGTTCAAAGCCAGCCTCAGCAATGGCAAGGCGCTTAGCAACTCAGTGAGACCCTGTCTCTAAATAAAATACAAAATAGGGGTGGGGATGTGGCTCAGTGGTTGAGTGCCCCTGAATTCAATTTCCAGTACCAAAAAAAAAAAAGGCTTATGTAGTAAATAGTATTGGAAGAAATGGAAAGAAATCAATTAGGAAAAAGAGGGAAAAGCCTTACACTAATAACAAAAGTATATTCCAAATGTATTGATTTTTTTTTTTTAAATGTGGTGCTGGGGATGGAACCCAGGGCCTCACATATGCTAAGCCAGTGTTCCACCACTGAGCTATATAACCAGTCAATGTTCTAAACACAAAAAACAAAACTGTGAATGTATTAGAAGAAATCAGAGAAAAATTATTTTTTTATAATTTTGGAGAGGAAGAGTCTTTTTAAAGAAGATACAAAATAAGAAAGCTGTAAAGGGGCTGGGGATATAGCTCAGTTGGTAGAGTGCTTGCCTCGCATGCACAAGGCTCTGGGTTCAATCCCCAACACCACCAAAAAAA